AGAGAATATGTTGTTTAGTAATGTGAATACGTTTAATCTCACAGAACTATTGTTATTTTAATGGATTCTCAATAATTCTAATTCATTTTTGTTCCCATGCATCGTTTTTCATTTATTTTCATTCTTACAGAATACGACTCAATAAATATCCTGATAACATTCTGACAGAATGAGAATAATTAAAAAAAAGTTTATAATAACCTTATAGACGATTTAATTAGTGAAAATACGTAATAATTACAATAAATATATAAGATTGAACATATTCATATTATCAAACAACATATTTTATTTGTTATTCTCACAGAATAGCATTGTCCACACGTCCACACAATAAATGTCAATCCACATTTGAACCTACCTATATATATATATAGATATATTATATTATATATATCTATATATATATATATATCTATATATATATATATATATTATATATGTATATATAAAATGATTTTTATCTTTATTTTAATAGAATTAATATAGATTATTTATAAAATTATTTTTATTTTTTAAATCAATTATCTAAATTATATAAAATAATAATAATAGTAATATTAATATTAATATTATTATTAATATTATTAATAATTTTCATTTATTTATTTATCTTTGTTTTTGTGGTTTAAAGTTCTTTTAATACTTTTGACGTTTTATTTAAATACATGTTTTAATGTTGTTTTTTTTTATGTTTTGTTCATTTAAGTTATATAATGATTTTTTTCACCTTTTTTCGAATAAATAAATTAAAACAATAACCCAAACATGAACAAAAATTATCGTTCGTTTAGTTAAACGAACAAGCATGCACAATGATCTCGTTTGTTCATTTATGTTCGTGAACGTTTGTTTATAATGTCCGTTTAAGTTCATTTATGTTCGTTCATTTAATTTATTTATATTCATTTATGTTCAATTTTTTTTATTATATTACCATATTATGTGTTCGTTTATGTTCATATACGTTCAATTGTGTTTGTTTATCTTTGTTCGTTTATGTTCAAGACATTGTCGCTGCTAATATGAACATACTAAACGAACATAAACGAACAAAGATAAACAAACACAATTGAATGTATATGAACATAAACGAACATATAATATGGTAATATAATGAAAAAATTGAACATAAATGAATATAAATAAATTAAATGAATGAACATAAATGAACGTAAACGGACATCATAAACGAACATAAATGAACAAACGAGACCATTGTTCATGTTTGTTCGTATAACTAAACAAAAGATAATTTTTGTTCATGTTCGGATTATTGTTTTAATTTGTTTATTCGAAAAAAAGTTCAAAAAAATCATTATATAATTTAAACGAACAATACGTCAAAAAAAAACAACATTAAAAGTATATATTTAAATAAAATGTTAAGATTATTAAAAGATTGTTAAACCACAAAAACAAAGATAAATAAATAAATCAAAAAATAAATAACAACAACAATAATAATAATAATAATAATAATAATAATAATAACTAGAAAGGTTACCCCCGCTACGCGGGGGCCATAAGCTTTCAATGTTGTTTCCGAATTGATAAATATGACAGACATAGAAAGTGCAAGGATGAAAAGTCCGGGCTTTGCCCCGGACAAAAAATGTAAAAGTTTTGACTGCAAGGACCAGAAGTGTGAAAATGGCTAAAGAATTAAAGGGGTAAGAATTAGCAACTTTTTAGAAAAGGGATCAAGTTGTCAAACCGTTTTAAAGTTTTGTGGCAAACTTTAACTATTAAAAGGTTCCAAAAAATGTAAAAATATTGATTGCAAGGACCAAAAGTGGTGAAAATGGGTAAAGAATAATGACCAAAGTTGCCAAAAAAACATCCAAATTTAGTATTCCTAACTTCCAACAATAATACAGGGACCAATTCTGCCAAAAAAAATGGGAAGTTGAATGGAACACAAACAAAAGGACATGAATAAATTAATTAAAGAAGTACAGGGACCAGATATGTAAATCAAGGACCAAACCTGGACAAAGTATCCCAACTTTACTATTCCTTTCTTCCACAACTTTTAATATATATATATAATATATATAGATATATATATATATATATATATATATAACTAGAAAGGTTACCCCCGCTACGCGGGGGCCAGAAGCTTTCAATGTTGTTTCCGAATTGATAAATATGACAGACATAGAAAGTGGAAGCATGAAAAGTCCGGGCTTTGCCCCGGACAAAAAATGTAAAGTTTTGACTGCAAGGACCAGAAGTGTGACAAATGGCTAAAGAATTAAAGGGTAGGAATTAACAACTTTTTAGAAAGGGATCAAAGTTGTGAAAACGTTAAAGTTTTGTGGCCAAACTTAAATATAAAAGGTTCCAAAAAATGTAAAAATATTGATTGCAAGGACCAAAAGTGTCAAAATGGGTAAAGAATAATGACCAAAGTTGCCAAAAAACATCCAAATTTAGTATTCCTAACTTCCAACAATAATACAGGGACCAATTCTGCCAAAAAAATGGGAAGTTGAATGGAACACAAACAAAAGGACATGAATAAATTAATTAAAGAAGTACAAGGACCGGATATGTAAATCAAGGGACCAAACTTGGACAAAGTATCCCAAATTTACTATTCCTTTCTTCCACAACTTTAATATATATATATAATAATAATAATATGATTTTATATAATTTATATAATTGATTTAAAAAATAAAAATAATTTTATAAATAATCTATATTAATTCAATTAAAATAAAGATAAAAAACAAATATATATATATATATATATAATATATATATATATATATATATATATATATAATAGAAATAATTTTATAAGAAATCTATACAAATTCTATTATAATAAAGAATAAATAAAATTGTTATATAATAATAATAATAATAATAATAATAATAATAAATTGTTAAAAAAATGAAAAAAGAAAAAGAAATAATAAGTTAGTTTTTTTATAGGCCAAAACTGTAATATTTGTAAACCATAAATCTCACAAAGCACATGAACCATTTAGACAAAATTGCAAAAATGGTCCCTGTGGTTGGCAAATTTCTACAGTTTTGGTCCAAAACGATACATTGGTGCACCACTGGTCCAATTTTGGATCTTTTTATTGTTTTTGGTCTCTAAACACTTAAAAAGACGACTATGCCCTTATAATTTATATTTTACCATTTTTTTAATTGTTGAAATACATAAATTAATTTAATTTATATTTTATTTGTTTTTTCTCCCTCAAAAACACACACATCGGTGAAAGAAACGAAGAAAGAAATAGGGATAGCCAAGGGCTGTCACCCTCAACCACCCACCGGTGACCCTCCACCGCCGTAAACCACCACAAACAACAACTCTCTATCCCCCTCTTGTATTGTGGAATCCATTGCACCACCCACCCTTCACGTTTTCTGTTTTCCTTTTCTCCTTTCAATGCCAAGAACAACCACCACCAAGGAGTGGTGTTGTTGTTGTTGTTGTTGTGACCACCGAACATCACTAGGAACCACCTATTCTCACCAATTTTTCCAATCAGCAACAACCCAAACACACCCTTTGACCACTGCCACCTCCCCTCTCTCTCCCTTGCTTATTTTCTCAAATAACAATAGCCCCACCAAAGGTGGCATCAACCTCCCAAGAACCACCGACTGCCACCCCGTCTTTCCCCTATGACGACGAGCAAACACCAACCCCCACTATGAGATCTTGACAAATGAAAACAATTTGTTTCTTATTGCTATCGATCAAAAGCATAAAGCATCATCCAAATCGATCAACCAAATTTAATCTCAATTTTTGAGAATGAAATCAGATCTCGGATGAGCTGGAATCGATTGAAACATAATCGATTGTTTACAACACATAAATCAGATCTTTCAACACATAATGGATTCTACTTTTTCTCACTGGTTTTTCTTATGGTTTTAGGAATGGAATCTGCAATTAATAGCTACACTTTGGCCATTGGTTCTATGTTTGTAACTGTTGCACACACCAACTGTTCGACAGATTGCTCCAAAGAATAATCATCTTCTAAAATGTTGTTTTTTGATTGGATTTGTTGTACAGATTGTAAACCCAAATGTGCATATCGACGTTTTGCAACATCACAAAAGAAATCATGGAGGGGAGGTGTAGAGGTTGGTAGAAAAACGGAGAAGAAAGGGAGGGAAAGAACAAATCGGAAACAACACAGCAGGTGGGGGTTCATGGGTTTGCTCAGCAACCGAGAGGAGGTGGAGAGGTTGACAACCGGTTTTTCCGATGGGCTCTCTTCCTCAACTGTTAGCTCATCTCACCGGAGTTGTGGCTTCGAGGAAAGCAAGGGTCGAGCAAAACAATAATAGAGGGTGTTTGGTGTGATGTGTCTTAACATGAGAGAGAGAGAGAGAGAGAGAGCAGAGAGTAGAGAGGGAGAGAGGAGAGAGAGAGAGAGAGAGAGAGAGAGAGAGGAGAGGAGAGAGAGAGATGAGAGGAGCGCGAGAGAGAGAGAGAGAGAGAGAGAGAGAGAGAGAGAGGTGGTTTGGGTTTTTTTTCTTTTTTTCTTTTTTTAATTAGAATAATTAGAAAAGAAATTAAATTAAATTAAAAAGAAAATTATTTCAGGGCAGATTTGTCATTTCAAGTGGAGTATGGAGCAAAACTACATATAAATGTCAACCATAGGGACCAAAACCACACAAAGTATCCGAAACTGGACTACTGATACACCACTAAACTTTTTTGGCCCAAAACTACAGAAATTTGACAACCAGGGACCATTTTTGCAATTTTGTCAACCATTTATTTAATTTACTCTTTTTTTTTATACAAACATATAGAAATAAATTCTACATCCACCGTCAATGAAACGAACCTGGACGTTTACAAAAGCACCAACCCCAAAAAATACTTGGTCAAACCAAGATATTCATTTTAAGTTTTTGTATTTTAGCAATTTAATATTATCTGATAAAACCTTGTCAGCACGACGTGTAACTCATTATCCAATCCCGCCTCTGCACAGAATCCCGTACGCTTTCCCTTTTCATTATAAAGCTCTTCTACTCTCTTCTCATCCGATCAAAATATCAAATCACTAATCACGCGTTTCTTTCGTTTTCATTTCGATTTCGATTGATCAAATCATCAAACTTGAAAGATGTTAGCAGTGTTCGAGAAGACAGTAGCTAAAAGCCCAGAGGGATTACAGACCCCACAACAAGAACCACCGGTGAATGCACTCAAAGATGGCCTTTTGTCCCGCAGCTTCTCCGCCGTGCATCCGTCGGCCGTCACCATAAATCTCGCTGATTCTGGTCTTATCTCTTACTCCGTTGATAAACAAAACCCTCTGCTTCCCAGGTATTATTATTACATTCGTTTTTTCATCTTCTTTTTGATCTTTTGAACAAGTTTGTCTTTTGATTTTTAATTTGCTTATAGTTATATGGGTTGTGGATCTGATTATTAAGAATACTCCCTAAATAACCATCTGATATGTCTCTCACTTTGTATCTAAATAAGTGTCGGTGTGTGGAATCTTGATCGGTTTTACTTGGATCTTGATGTTGAAGTTGGGATCAAGGTCCAAGGAAGTAATATACTAATAAAATTATATGTTTTTTTTTTGGTGATCAATGCAAGAAATAGCAACATTCTTTCATTTGTTTGTTTATTATAACATAACACTTGTATTTTTTTCAGATTAGACATTTTACTAAGTTATACCATTTCATTATACTTTAAAATTTTTACTTGATTGTTTAACTTAAAATTGATTTGTATTTGGATGACATTGTTGTCTTTTTGAAAATTTTCGAAGTAGGAACAAAGTGCTAAAGAAACAAATGAAAGTACGATGCTATTTCTTGAATTTAAACCCAAAATACATTTTTTTTTTTTCAAAAACTAGAACCTCAACCCCTATCTTAACCAGCACACTAGGTACTAGTAATGAACTTTCATTTCTTTGTGTATTTTAACATCATGTTTACATTGCTTTCTGTGAATACTTCAAAAAAATAATTAAGGCATCATACTTTGGAAATTCTTATAATCTTATTAAGACATTATACATTTTTTTTTTTTTTGATTTAGTTCATTAGTCTGTTATTATGTATCTGTGAAGAAGTTGTAACTTTGAAAATACCGATTACTAGTTAAACCATCTGTCAACTGTCATTTTTAATTGCCATTCAAGTATATTCTTTCTTTCTATCTCAACATTCCACTTTCAATATTCTTCTTATTAAGATATTATACATTTAAAAGTAATTTTCCATAATCAACATATCAATGAAATTACATTGCTATTTCTTAACTTTCAATCTTCGTGATTATATATTTTGTTGTGTGATTTTTGCTAGATTGTTTGCGGTTGTGGATGACATATTCTGCTTATTCCAAGGTCATGTAGAGAATGTTGCGCCCCTAAAGCAACAATACGGATTAAACAAAACAGCAAATGAAGTTATAATTGTTATTGAGGCATACAGAACATTAAGGGACAGAGGTCCTTATCCTGCAGACCAAGTTGTGAGAGACCTCCAAGGAAAATTCGCCTTTATTCTCTATGATAGCACTTCAAAGTCAACTTTCATAGCTGCTGTAAGTAATAGTTTTGTACTTTCATTTATTCCTTTATCATAACATCCTACTAGTATATTATTGGCTTACAATTACCATAATTTCCATTCAGGATGCTGATGGCAGTGTGCCGTTTTTTTGGGGGACTGATTCAGAAGGAAATGTTGTGCTCTCTGATGATGTTGAAACTGTAAAGAAAGGCTGTGGCAAATCCTTTGCACCTTTCCCGAAAGGTTTGTATTTTGTGTTTCTAACATTTTATTTGATGTGATTGGTCTACTTTAACAATGAAAGTATGCTGTTATTTCTTGCATTTAACCCATTTAAATTTGATGAATTAAGTCACATAAGTATGTTCTTAAGGTTCTTTTTTAATTATACAGGATGTTTCTTCACATCATCTGGAGGGTTGAGGAGCTTTGAGCATCCTTTCAATGAGCTGAAGGCAGTGCCAAGAGTAGACAGTTCTGGAGAGATGTGTGGTGCTAATTTTAAGGTTGACTCTAATTCCAAGAAAGAGACTGGAATGCCCAGAGTTGGGAGTGCTGCTAACTGGTCCCAACACTACTGAGCAAGGGCATTTATGTAAAATCATGTTGTATTGGCTTTTCTTTTTAATTTGAGACACCCTTCCTAGGGTTCTGAGAGACTACTCTATGTGTATGAAACTTGTGTTTACTCTGCTGTTAGTGGCTTGTATTTTGTCACTTAAAAAGGATATTATGTACGTTCTTGTGAGAAAGCAGAGAACTAGCAAAAGTTGGGAATAAAATGAAATGAGAATATCATATTAATTTGCAGGAACAATATTGGGGTTTCTTGAAATTACAATAGAAAGTTTTTTGTTGTTTTTAGAACCTATACTTACTTTTAATCAGCATTGATATAACAAAGCAGAAAATTCAGACTATAATATGTATTAAGTAGACAGCTAAAAGAAAAATATAATAATGTTTAGCCACAAGGCATGTATTACTGTTATTGCAGGGAGTTTCAATCCTTAATCCTTCGCATCTGCAATTCCTCCTGCTGTTATCTGAAATATGTGTTTTTTGTCAAGAAAGTCAAAATTCCCAACTTGATTTTACATATAAAAATTATTGAATATTTAACATAACAATTGAAACAAGTTTACCCAAAGTCAATTAAAAAATCTTAAAGAGGTGCCATATTGAATATGAGATTTAAATTTTATAAATATATATTTAAAATTTGTTGCTTTTGTTATAGGCAAGTTTTCATGACATTAACAGCTAAACATATGAAATAGCAACGTACTTTCATATATTTGTGATTAAGCATCCTACTTTCATTTTTTTATATTTCAACATTATAGTTCCAAATTTTTTTTTCTGATTGTTGCATTATAAGTTGTCAAATCTACCTAATTATAGCATTGTACTTTCATTTTTTTTTCTGATTAAAACATTGTACTTTGAAAATTCTACCCAATTGTAAAAGCAAAAGTTGTTTCACATCTTAATGATATTGTGGTAAATTGGTAGATTTTCATGGTAAAAAGAAGTAATGAAAGTAAGATACTACAATAAACAAATCAATGAAAGTACATTGCTATTTGTTGTACTTAACCCTAACATAACATACAATTAATTACTTTTTATGATTAATATGTTTTAATAAAATAGTATAATAATTATAATAAAAGGATATTGCTTCAGACTCTGGGAGATTTGGTGCATCAAACACCTTGCAGACACGCTGTTCACCTTTTCCCTTCCTAAACATCAATCTCACAGTGGCTGCATGAGCAAGAACATGTCCCCCTGCTGGTTTCTTTGGATCAGATATGAACACCCCACCACCTGGATCAGCTATCACTGCAACAAAGTTTCACACACTCACCATCTATATATATTTCATTTTTTTAATATGAAAAAAAAAAGGATAAATGTTTCCAAATTTATCAGTGAAAAGTAGAAGTAGAACCTTGGTTTGTCATATACACTGCTACATTAAACTCTTCAGCAATCTTTGTTAATCGGGAGAGCATCTGAGCCAACTTTTGCTGTAATAAAAACATGAGTACATACACATAAGAGTCTTGTTTTGTTAAAGCATCATATACAAAATCAAAAATAGGAGATAATAAACCTGGCGTTCTGCAAGTTCTCCTCTTCCAGTGAAGTCTACTCGGAAGAGAGCAATGACTGAATCAACAATCTGTGAAATATATTGATTAAGAATATGAATGAATATATCAGGAAAAGGTGTATACGTTTGAATTATTGAGAATATTTGGGTTAAGAATGGCATACCAGAAGTCTGAAAGGCTCTTCTGACATCTTTGCTGCCAAACCAAGGAGTAGGTTGTACTGATGCTCATATGTGTAGGCACGTGCATATATTATCTTTATGAAGTAGAAGAAAAAGCAATCAGTTATCAGTTAGAAGAAATATAAGAATATAGATTGAGAAAGTGAAACAAGTATTGTTACATTATCAAGTACAGCTCCAGCATCCATGCCAAACCTTTCAGCAATTGGAACTATACGATCAGGTCGGCTGCAACCACATTTTATTAAGGAGTGACAACATATTTTTCTTGAGGGGTTTTTATAAAAGAAGAAATGAAAGTAACAGAGGTTAAAAAGGATACAAAGTTCCCTCAGTATCTATATAAGCAACCTTCCCATTCCCTCCTTTCATATTGGTTGGAAGCTGGATAGATAAGGTGAGGTTTAATAAAGCACTAAGCAAATCAACGATACAAATAACTCTACAAATGATGATGAAATTAAATGGACCTGTGTTGAAACACAGAGAGTATGAGCCAGCTGTGTTTTTCCAGACCTGGATAGCAACATTGATGAGGGAATTATAAGACAAGGTTAATGAAGATTTGTACATATTATAGCATAAGATATGTTTGGTCTCTCACCTAAACTCCCCAAAAGCTTCGGTAATTTGTAGAGTTTCAATACCACCTACACAAAGTAATAAAAATGAGTTAATGTATTTGGAAATTTTATGATTATGTGGATGAATATCAAGTTATTAATACAGAGAACATTAGGATTCAAGTTTCCACCTCCTAACAGTTCATCAAGAGCTTGACTTCCAGTAGTGATACGTACAACAGCCTTCCTCTGTTTAACGAATGATGACATAATACCAGAATTAGGAGCTAAAACTAGGACATTTAGTTAGCAAGTTAAGACAAAGCAATAGAAGCATTTTGCAACTAGAAATTAAGCGAAGGAGCATCTTAGTTCTTACTCTGAGCAGAGCATCACTTCCAGTGATATAGCCAAAATTCTGAATCAGAAATGGAGCCAAAAGCAATTATGAACTATAACAATAAGAAGATCATTTGAAAATGAAATTATTGTAGATAACAGAGTACTAACCACTATCTTCTCGGCAGCTTCACATATTTTATCAACTTTAGCCTCCGATAGACCTTTTATACCAGTCAAGTTCTGTAATATAAATAGATTTGGGACAGAAGTTGTTACCAAGTAGTCAATAATGATTCAAAAAAGTGCAGGTTCTGATCACCTTCTTTGTGTGCATCATCAAGCCGTTGCATGTATATATTCCAGCGTCCTGAAGCTTCTTAACATCTCCCGCATTAATTCCATGAGAAGTCACTGGATAAACATAAACACGAGATAAGGTCACGATCGGCAGTAATTTGATAATTTCTAGATCTTATTAGTGAAGGATCGGAATTAGAAATCAGTGTAGAAAGTATTAACTAAGGAATCCAATCATTGAAATCAAAATCGAATAGAAATTTAAACATTTCAGAAAATGTCGGGATCATACATCATTTACAGACGCAGTTTTAATCGACTTGCAACAAGCAAATGGAATTAGTACGTGTTCGATTTGATCAATTTAATCATATTTAGAACGATTGCTATATTTAATATAGCATTAGAATACGTGCGAATGAACTCGTTACTTCACGTAACAAACACGAAACACAAATTATAGCTAGAATCATAGTGCAACTTTCGAAAACGAACAGAATTACATAAAACTGAAGAAGAGATCGTTAAGTATATACTTACGCTTATCAATGGCTTCAAATAGATCTTCTTCATCCTCGAGCTCTTCACGTTCCACGATCTGCAATTGACTGATTTCTTCGGATCTGGAACACAAAACAAGGGCAAAATCATCAGAAAATCACTACAATGCAGCATCATTAACGTGATTTCAGATTCAATCATTATTTCAACTTAGAGAGCTCGAGATTTACTTGAACGCTTGCATTTTCGAATTGAGATGCAAACTGTAGACTCACAGAGGGTGCTGGAGAGAGAAAGAGGGAAACTCTGTTATTATTTTCAAATTCTGGGAGGGAAATATAAACAGCCGAAGTGAGAAGTTCAAACTTTAAATGCCTTGATGCAATGCATGCGTTCGTCAAATATATTGGAAATATTTTCTTATGAAGAATAAAAAAAAAATTAAATATTACACGAATTTTATGAGTCAAAAATAAACAACATATACTTATTAACTTGTTATGGTAAAAAAAGTACAACCAAATTTTATTTGATGATAAAAGTAAATAACGTTGCTATCTTCCCTTCAAATTTTCAGTTGGAAGTCAACAAGTTTCATAACATGTCTTTAAAAGCTATGTTTAGTGATACAATTTCACAACTTTTTTGCATGTGTATAAACATAAGAAACACATTAAACATCATTTAGCGACTCAACTTTGGATAATTGTATTATATTACAATCTAAAACTAAACTCATTTTAAGCAATTTAGAAATTTTCTTTTATAAAAAAGGAAATGAAATGTACAGAATGGAAAATTAGACATATAAAGCTAAAACAGTGAGGATAGATCCGTCCATCAAAAGTAAACCCCATCCAAGATCCATATGGTTTTGAAGGTCTTTATATATGCTATAAAAAACTAATAATTTAACTTGAACATAGAAATTAATTTTAGATGAAAAAATACATAAGAAATTTTCAAAGCAAGGAAAATTTACAATAAGGTCCTTTTGCTAAAATTGCATTGTGGTCCTTACTCTTTACCTCATTCCATATTATGCCTACAAAACATGAGCATCCAAAACCAACTAGATTGGGACCAATTTTTGTTTTAAGAGTTTGGAACATATTGGAAAGGGGACAAATTCTGATTCTTAATTTTTTGAACCAAAACCAATTTCAGTATTGTTAACTTGTCCCGGTGTTTTTTTAGAAAATAAGATTGTATTCAAATTTATATATTAAATTACTTAAAAACTAGTGATAAATAAAGTTGTAATCATAATATTTTTTATGTTTAAAAGTAGATGCTTTTGTTTCATTGGTGATTAACTTCTTTTTTACGGCTTATGATTTCGAGTTTCTATTTCTCTTTTTTGTTTTTGATCATATACATGTAGTGATATAGAATTTACGTTTGTGAAGTTGGAAAAACTCAATTTGGTACATTAAATTAGGTTAAATGTAAGCAACAATGTCACTTGTTCTCTTTGGGTTGTCCTTTTGCCTTGAAGTTCCATTCACAACTTGATTTATTGTTCCCATGGTGGGAACCTTCAACTAGCCATATTTGCATAATGTTGTTCACTTCTTTTGATTGATTCGCACATTAAAACTCAGGTTCTTGCTAACAGTCATTTCCCCCAATCCTAGAAAACTTATGAATATGTGATTTGCTTCTCACATAATGGACTTGGGGTTCTTCGAACTTGGCAGGGTAGGGCTGATGGGATTCAACCTTTTTTGCGTTGGGGATAAAACATTATTGAACATTTGTTTGCAACGTTACTGAAAATTTGTCATAATTGCTAGATAGAGAGGTGTTTATAATATTATGTGATACCTTCTCATTAATCTCAAAGGTAATTATAGAATAAATGTAGACTTTTATACTAATATTAATTAATTCTAAAATATGAACAATATCATATATAAATACGGAAACTATATCAAACATAAATACGAAAAACTTTGATGATATTGAATACTAGTTTAATATTATCAAATGCACTCCCTCTCGTTCGAAGCGAGAGTAGAATGGATGCTCAAAATAATCTTTAAATCTTTGAACGCTCTTGGTTTTGAAATCTTCTAATGTTAAGATTTATGGAGTCTTGAACAAATTGACAAGTTCCTAAAAGTTTAAGGGCCATAAATGAAACTTGGAAATATTAAACAATTGAATATGAAATGGACGATGCAATTATGGAGCACACATTTTGAATTCATTTGTTGGACTGTCAAAGTTTTGGACGGCAAATAATTGGACGGTGGAAAAAATTGTCAAACACATGCATGAGAATTATTTTTTCAAACTATGCGGCAATCTTGTGCATATTGCGGCTCACAAATATACCTATATATATGCATGTATGTTTTGCATATTTTGTGTGCAAAAACTTGAGAGAACATCAAGTGTATAGTGTCAAGCCAATTGTAATCTTGTGAGTTTTAATAAAATTCTCTAGTTGCAGCCCGTGGACGTAGGATTTACACCGAATCTGAACCACGTAAAATCTTTGTGTTCTTTATTGCTTTATTTTCTCATTTCGTTTGTGAGTGTGTGATAGTGTTTCCGCTGCGTGTACCCTGTCTCAATTCCTAACAATTGGTATCAAAGCCTGGTTAGCGAGGTTTTGGAGGGTACGATCGTTTTTTCTGTCACACACGAGTGTACCTAATTTTTTTTTTGTTTGCCGTAATGGCTGAAGACAAGGTTATAATCGAAAGGTTCAGTGGTTCTGATTTTAGCTGGTGGAAAATGCAATTAGAAGCATTGCTATGTCAGAAAGACTTGGACGTGGTACTCGGAGACAAACCGGAGAAAATGGAAAAAGCTGCTGAAGATGCGTGGAACTCAAAGGACAAGAAAGCCAATGCGGTTATTACATTGTCGTTGACGAAGAGCGTTGCTTTCAACATCATGAATGAAACCACGGCGCGTGGTATGATGGAGGCTCTGTCAAATATGTATGAGAAACCATCGGCGGCTAACAAGGTGTTCTTGATGGAGTTGTTCACTACAAGGATGAATGAGGAAGGCTCAGTTACGGTTCACATTAACAATCTAAATTCAATTCTGTCCAGATTATCATCTGTGGGAATTAAATTTGATAATGAGACTCAAGCTTCGCTGCTACTAGCTTCTCTACCTGATAGCTGGTCCGGAACAGTTACTGCTGTTACAAGTTCCGTGGGGACCAGTGGTATGACTTTTGAAGGGGTTAGAGATTTGGTTCTAGGCGAGGATATCAGACGCAAGAATCAAGGTGGATTTTCCTCTTCTGATTTATTAAATGTCGGAAGAGGTAGAGGGAATAGCAGGAATAGTGGGAGCAGTGGGAGTCGGGGAAAAAAGTTCTTCTAGAACTTTGAAGAATGTGAATGTTGGAACTGTCAAGAAGTGGGACATGTTAAGAGTCAATGTCCAAAGAAAGAATTGAACATTGCTGATGCTGAGAATTTTTCTGGGGATGATGCATTGTTACTCAGTATGGAAAGTTCTGTGGACTCTTGGGTCATGGATTCAGGGGCTTCGTTTTACGCCATGGACAACGGGGAAACGATGGTGAATCTAAAAGAAGGAGATTTTGGGAAGGTACGATTGGCAAATGACGAGATGCTTCAAGTAACGGGCATGGGAGATATGATCTAGTTACTTCATTAGGAAACTACATGGAGCCTGAAGAATGTCAGGGTTATTCCGGAGCTGAAGAAAAAATTGATTTCTGTTGGTCAGCTGGATAAACAAGGACTGGAAGTAAGGTTTGGTGGTGGTAAATGGATGGTGGTCAATGGTAATTCGGTGATTGCTCAAGGTTTGAAGCGTGGGTCATTGTATATGGTTGAGGTACCTGCTGAGGGAAGTATGACCATCCCGATTAAGCAAACAAAATCTGGTTCGCTAAATCTACTGCTAAGAGAGTTCATTTTGCAAACATGAATTCTGGAGCCAAGGGGATGTTAGCTGAACGAGTCGAAAATTCTAAACCATTCAGGGGATTCTGTGACAGTGGGAGCACGGGGTGTGTCCCGGGTACAGTTACAAAGAGCCGTTGGGTTTGAAGACTAAGACTGGAAAATTCTCTCTTGTTGGAAGTTTGCAAAGTTTGGAGAGTGTTAGTGGTCCTCGGTGTATCTCTGGATCTGGTAGAGTGTCCAAACTGGTTGAGACAGAGGATGAGTCGGTGGTGGGATTAGCCACGACTGAGTTGGAGCTAGTGGGAGCTTCAACTGGCCCTTCTAGTACTTGAAGATGAGGGGCGGCTGCAATTAGAGAAATCAGACTAAGTTTTTAGCTTGTTCTTTGAAACTGGAAGCTTGAAGGACTTGGTTGTTTTTTAAGATTACTGGAGTAATTGAGAGTTGAATGGCGGAGAAAGACTAATTTGTTCAAGTCTCCAAGTGAGAGATTGTTAAGATTTATGGAGTCTTGAACAAATTGACAAGTTCCTAAAAGTTCAAGGGCCATAAATGAGAGAACATCAAGTGTAGAGTGTCAAGCCAATTGTAATCTTGTGAGTTTTAATAAAATTTTCTAGTTGCAGCCCGTGGACGTAGGATTTACACCGAATCCGAACCACGTAAAATCCTTGTGTTCTTTATTGCTTTATTTTCTCGTTTCGTTTGTGAGTGTGTGATAGTGTTTCCGCTGCGTGTACCCTGTCTCAATTCCTAACATCTAACACTCGCTTTATTTTTTTGGAAACCACATAATCAAGAAACACGTCACTAGACACCATGAAATCACATTTCTTGGTCTTGCCATAGAGTTTATATTTCCTCAATAAATCAAGCATCTCAAACAAATTGCCCAATAAGTGGTCTCATGACTTCATTCATTAGTCTCTTGAACATACTAGGAATAGTGGACAAACCAAATTGCATAATAAGCCATTTATTGACCACCCTTGATTTTAAAGGTTGTTTTTCATTTATTCCCATTTTTTATTCTAATTTAACGGTAACAACAACATAAATCAAACCTTAGAAAACACACAAGAACCATGTAATTCATCCAACATATCATACAATATAGGAATGGGGTACCTATATTTTATTGTAAGTTTGTTAATGGCCCTAATATCAACACACATATGTATAGTATTGTCGTTTTTAGGGATCAGAAGGGCAAGAATAGAACATGGGTTCATATTAGGCCTCAGGTAACCTTGAACAATTAGATCATCAACTTTTCTTTGTAATTCTTTGGTCTAACAAGGAACCAAGTAAATTTGGTGCGCAATTCCTCGAATAGAAGGAAAACCATGGGCTAGCAAATAACAATATCAATAAGAACAAATTCACATGTAATCTCATTATTATAAACAACACCAATAAGAAAAAGGATTCATTTTTTGGAAATATCATTGGCTAAGACATTGAAATTTGTAGGGGTGTGGGTGTTATAATGTGGATTGTCGAATTTTATCCACCATATAAATTAAGATTGTATTCACAAAGCTTCATCCATCTACCATCAAGTCACGCATCTTGCATTTGATGATGCATCTTGAGTGGAATATATCCTCCTTTTGGGCCTTGTCATTAAGAGCTTCAGTTGTGTGCATGACTTTCCTCGCCACCAAAATTTCACTAAAGTTAGCATTTACAACCTCCTTTTCATTAGAATTGTTATAAATAGGTTCTTCTTCGATCTCAACATTTTTTTGTAGGACTTCAACCTTCTTCAATATAAGAGATATTCAGTTAAGACATTGAGCTTAGAAATATCCAAATCATGACATTTGAAACATGTCTTTCCCTTAGGTTCTGCAAATCCTTCTTCCATTTTCTCTTTATCTTTAAAAGGCTTTTGGGCATATTCATTTTCTTTAGACAAAAATGCAAAAATGGTCCCTATGATATGCATTTTTTCTAGGTTTTGGTCCAAACCCGTTTTTTTTGGATTGATGGTCTTGTGAGCTAGGTTCGTTGCCTATTTGATCTTTTGAAATTGAAAAGACTAAATTGGCATCCTGATAATTTTTTATGTTTATTTTAAAGCTTTATAAATAATATATATGGGCCTACCTCTCCCTCTCTCATGTATGAAAAAACACAAACATCACACACACACACGTTTTACAGATTTCACTGTTCATCATCTTTTTGTGAAGGTTTAAGATGGTCAAATATGATGGAAGTTCCATGTTTACACATTGATTTGGGTTTTTCTTCAATCACATAAGCACACACACATACACATGTTTACAGATCCACGTTGTCTTTGGTTCCTTTCCACAAGCTTGGTCATCACTTATAAGATCTAATAGAATAACCCTGTCCAACATCACTTTCAGATCTCATAGAATAACCCCTGTCCAACATCACTTTCAAAACACCCTATCCCCTGGTTAACTTTCTTCCCACCCGCCCCACCGAACAAGCACCCCTACCCTGTACAACACCCCACTCACAACAAAAAAATCCCCCCCCCGCCTCATCGTTTTGAATATGTAATTCAAGCAAATAAGGAAAAATAGAATGTGATTTGAATCTGTACAGATCAGAAGACATGAAGCAAATCGAGAGAGAGAGAGAGAGAGAGAGAGAGAGAGAGAGCCTTATTTTTAAAAAACATAAATAAAAAACAATGTTTGAGAGGGGAGCCCATGTTCCCCTTTAAGAGAATCCCAGCACATGCGATCGATTTCAATTTGTGGGGAAGTATCTAACCCCAGTTATTCTATCTCATGTCTGATTTTACATTTGGTTTGTTTGAGAACAAGCCCCAAATTTGTTTAATGGCGTGGATTTCTTGATCAAAAATAAACCCCAAAATGTTTCAGGGCATCGTTTTCTCACACGCTTACAAAATACGAGAAAATAAACAAGATTCCGGTGGCGAATTCAGGGTAAACGAACGATCCATATGCTTAGTCCCAAGCTCAGAAGTGATTCCAGTTGAATTTAATGATTGCAGCCTATAGGTAAACCCCCTCAATAAGCAAGATTTAGGCAGCGGTGGTGGTGGCTTTACGGCGACGGTAGTCGTGGCTTCAGGGCATTGGTGGTCCTGTGGTGTTGGACTAAGGTCCTGTGTTTTAGAATTTCTTCAATTCTTACACTGTAATTAGAGATTCTTGTGGTATTATTTTAGAAACAGATTAAACTCATTAATGCAACCAAACTCAAATCCAAATACCTTTGAAAATCACAGCATCACACATCAACCTCTGGCTACATTCTACATACCAGCGAATTGTGACCATTACTTGAGGTTATGGCGAGGTGGTGATCGATTAAGATTGTTCGTATAATTTACATGAAGAACAGAGCTTCAATGATGTTGTATAAGGTTGCCATGGCGACTTTCATGTTGCTACTTCCATGTACATCATTCTTGTTTTTCTCTCTTTTTCTTAATGATCTTGGAGATGAAAGGCACACAAGGAGAAGGGCATCTCAACCTCCATTTTCCAAAGAAAAAGGGTGGGTCTAGCTTTCTTGATAAGAGAGAGAGAGAGAGAGAGAGAGAGAGAGAGAGAGAGAGAGAGAGAGAGAGAGAGGAGGGGAGGTGGACCCTTTTATTTTTTAATTATTTTAATAATTGTATTACATTAATAAAAAGTGAAAAAAAATGTAAATTAAATACCCCAAGGCTATACTATCATTTTAATATTCGAATGGACCAAATATCAGGGTTTGGACCAAAACTCAAAAGAAATACATACCATAGAGATCATTTTTACAGTTTTGTGTTTTCTTTAAGTAGTACTCTACATAGGAAATGTTGGCTTGATAATGGCTTGTAAGAAACCTCTTGGGCTTGTTTTGAGCTTGTACCAAGTCTTGATCTTTTTCTTACCTTTCAAGGTTCATTTTTAACTTCAATGGTTCTATGCATGGTTTGAACTAATTCAAGATAGTCATCAACATTTTAGGAACCTTCAAAATCTAGTTGGTTAACTTTAAATGTTTCTCCAATAATCCCCTTCTGCTTTCTATATGGTCAGTTTAATCAATTATTGATTTGTTATGTTCGGTTTAATCCATTTAGATAATTTGTTCGGTTCTGTTTAATCAATTTTTTGACATCCAAAATATTAAGAGAATAATTGTGAAACTTATCATTCTTTATATTTTTTGGTCATTAAACAAAAATTTGTTCTTATATTGTTTGATCGTTGGACAATTTTGTTAAATGGAATGTCTAGAGTGACAAGTTACGATTAAAAAAAGATATGAATTGAAAAGAATATACGTTTGAAGAAGTGATAAAGACAAAATTAACAAATAAATTAAAACTATCACATAGAATATGATAAAAAGGTATAAACTTTATTATGAGAAATTGAAACATATTTTATAAAATGATATAAATAAAAATTATATTTTATTTTACTATTGTTTGGTTCAATAGAATAGTGGAAATAGCAACCGAAAACCAAACCGAATAATAAAAAGTAACAAAACGTTTTGTCAATAGCTTCTAGAAGCTAGAAGCTCTCAATCTGTGCCGAGCACGCTCATAAACTATTTCCCAACTTTTAACAACTCAAAACATATTTTCCAACAAATACACATTTTATTATATCTATTTGTCAACATGGAATTAGTCTATAAATAATGACTTATTTATAACTAGAGATAGTCACATTCTCATTATACCCATAAACATATAACTAGAGACTCCTGAACCCATAATCTGGAACAATGCATATGCAATAAATGACTTATTCAACACCTTAAACGCAATTATCGAGTTAGAAACGATATTTGTATAGTGCACTAAATTCTATCGTATGTTTACTAAATTTATTTTGTCATGTCATCCATACCAAAGGGGTACTTAAAAAACACTTATTTAAAAACTTCTATTACTTATTGGAGAATAAGTGCAAATAAAGGAGCACAATACATAAATGATTGTGAATTAAAGCAAAACTTTCACATTTGAGAGAACCCTTCTCCCAACAGCTCATGAATCAAAGCATATGAATACAAACGCAGGTAACAAACAATAAGATTATGGTTCTAAGTTCTCACCTAATAAGCAAACACATACACAAACACATACTACACAAATGATTCAAGAAACCCAAACTCAAGTCTCAACCACCAAAAGGAAAGAAAAACATTTTGCTACAATCATATGTTCTATCTCATTTTGCAATGTAACTGAAGCAAGAAAATCCCATAATTTTGTATAGAATTGAAACGAATCTTGACTTATACGATCATGCCATTAATCATCAACAATATCATAATCCATAATTGTTAATTAGATACTCAACTACAAAACTCATTTAATACCCAAAAAGAACAAGTGACTAACTTGCAAAACTAAATCAAGATAATAACTTTTAATCAAGTTCATATCATAATCATGAGGTAGCACATACAAAAAATGCCCAATAACTCGCACTTACCAAACATTGAGCTATTAATTCTTCTTCAAAGGTCGTCTTGATTCCTCAAATACTCCCCAGTATCAGCCTGACGAATAACCACAAGCCCATTAGGGTCCATCTTCCTACAATCCTGAGTCGATTTCGCAGCAATCCCAAATCCCAAAGGCAAATCCGACATAGAAAACACTACCACCCCGTCATACGCATTGATGTTATCAGTAATCCTGCCTAACCCACCTTTCACGACATCGTTCCCGTACAAGAACGACATCTCCGAAGTGGGTTTTAGCCACACTTTATGCTTCGCATTAGCAGCCAACAGATTCAAGGCCTGAATCGTGAGATGGAACTTGCCGCTTTTTGTGAATTTGCCGATGTTGGTCCCCATGGCGACGAGGTTTTCTCGCTTCACGTTGGTGGCGCGTTTGACTAGTGATTCCGAGACGTAATAGACTCTGTTCTTGTGGAGACGGAAGCAATAGCGACCTGGGTTTTGATCGGGGCCTTCGTGTGATGGAGAATCGACGAGGTTCTTAAGATTGTTGCCTGTGAATTTGAATAGCTTCTCGAATACTTGAGTCGTCTCGGCTTC